CATTGTCACCAATGCCAGCTCCTGGTATTGTTTTAATGCGTTAAAGGCGAGAAGCGCTCCCAAAAGGTAAATGAATAGTGAAGAATTGCTCGTCACTGTCAAGATGTGGATCCAGTCCTTGTGACTCACATCTGTGCGTGTTGGTCAGAGTCACGACCGTCCAGTTTAGACGTGGATGCAGTGGACGCATTGTGGCTAGGACGTTCAGCTGCCCAAAAACCAAACATCTCAGTTAGCCGGCTGAGTATGCAATTAAGGGGCACTGACAGACGCTCCAAGTGCTGCGTTACAATAATGCCACGAAGTTTACCTCCCTATCAAATAGCCTCCTCATGTCCTTGCGCCAAGTAATCTCATCGCCGCCTCCTACTCGTCTTCCCTTCATCCTCACAGTTTCTTCTTTACCTTCACTCACTTGGATCAACAGTAAATCATAAGGTCGTTCCATGTTTAATGCTTCTTCGCCTCCTATCCAATCATTAAGAGCAGAAGGAGATGGGACGTTATCAGCCTCACAAGAAAACCTCTGTAGCCTAGACTCGATTTAGATGCATTCGCTTACAGTCCACTCTTTTGCTTTAACAGCGTCCTCCACGTCTTGCTGCAATGGAGATGAAAGCCTCATGGTCATACACTAAAGAAGTGCTGACATAGGAGATTAGATAGCAATGTGTCAGCTCTCTTGCATCTTCGGACAGTGTCTGAAATGAACATTGAAAGCATTTGTGCATAACCATAGGACATTAGGCGACGTTTATGGCTCTACACTTCATCAACTCTATCCAATGTCGGAAGACTTGCATCCTTCAAGTTCAGCATCTTCCTCCTCCTTCTCGTGTCTAGGCATTAAGCTATCAGTCCTTCTCCCGTTCCACCTCCTTCCCCTCCTTCTAAACTGTTCTCTTCTCATTGTTACAGTTTCTCGTTTACTCCCACTTTCTTTATTCGACAGCAGTTTACTAAATCATTATACTTTTTTCCTCTGCTTTGATTTTCTTCCATTCACGCGTCGCGGCACAAGAGATGAAGATTGTAGTGAACGTCTTTAGAGTGGAAGATAACAAGAAAACCGGCATAGTTAAGACTTCCGTTTGCAAATTTAAATCCACTTTGAGATATGAAAAGGTTGTGACCTTCTCTACTTACTACGTCATCGAAGATCAAACAACCCTTTTGGTGGCGTACAATACGTCGATGGCATTTGCAGCACCCCTCTAATCGTGGTTGCAGTCTATTGTAGGAAGAGATGATGATGAGAGAAAATAATGTCAATTTACTCCTCATCACGACCCCGAGTTCAGATGACATAGTCAGGAAGCATCAAGGGATCTGTAATGGACGCCGACAAAGTCAATTTCGAGAATCTCCTCTTCATGCTATACCTCCTTCATCTACTCTCATGATAGACATCTTGTACATTAGTGTTCTAAGCCTTCTATTCGTGTATCTACAAATCTCTGCTGCTTTAAAATGGGATTTGGAAAATGAGACATTTGTAACAATAATGGAGGTGCTAACGCGGTATGCAGGGTACTTAGGCATCTTCGCAATAAAACACGTCTTAGAATGCAGCATCAATTCTTACTATAAAACAAACTATTATGAACTGCCACAATCATACTCATAATTCATTGTTCATGTCATTTAGCGCATTTTAAGAGGACTTGGGCGCCACGTTTAAAGAGGACTCTATCAGATCATTAAGTGGGTACCGGTAAAGCTCTCACAAGAAGCATGTTTATGGTTTTTAAAAAGATGAGTCTGTTTTGTGTTTGAAATAAAAAAAACAGTTGAAAGCGTTGAGTGGATTGACTTTAAAATCGGGATGAATGTTGACTCTGGCATTAACTAGAGCGAAGGAAGTGATTAAGGAGGCACCCTCAGCCCTTTTTTTCTTTTCAGTGCCACCAATAGAGAAGCCAGTGCATACGGTAATAGCCATTAATTTATCATTAATTCGCAAAATATTTAGCCACTGTAAATGCAACTTGATTGTTATTTGGCTTCGTGCATTGGTGACCACCATGGAGGAAATCGAACTTTACCCATGTGGAATGTCTTTGAAACAGGCTATGGACCCACTTCCACCCAGCCATTCCTAAGGCCTACTGTAGCGTCTCGAGACTTCCCATAGGGTGGGATACAAGTATTCCGAAGAGGACAGAGTAGATGGGCCTGAGCGTAACCCGAAGACCAGCCCACAAGTACAAGGCTCTGACAAATACTGAAGTGGCTACCTAACGTCCTGTGGTCACATGAACAAAGTATTACACTGCCCCTCCTCTTTTGAGCGACGTCTTCAGCGCTCCTCCTTAGGTACACCTCCCGCACCAGCCATTACAACATATTCAGTACTATATGAAAGCACCTACAAGCCAACCGCACCAGTTGAAAGCTACCACGAAACTGAGGAAGCGCACTTGATCTCCTCGGCAGCTTTAACTGGATCTGAAGTTATGTTTGGTCTGATAATCAGATTCGGGACCGCATACACCTGTTGACCATTAGTTGCTTCCAGGACTAGGCGGTGTGAATCTGGTCTAAAACAGTTATATTGGAAGAAAAACGGGATGAGCCACCGTTCCGTAAGCGAGGAGAACCGTAGTGCCATTTTCGACACCTAAACACGTATTTGTTATGGGGAATTCGGACACGAAACTTCCCCAGATGGTTAAGGCGCTGTCGCTTCATTTGTTAATAGCTTGTGAGGGTTTCAGAGAGCCTCCACCACCGATGCAAATGCGTTTCTTCTACGCTGAAAAACTGTTGGGTTCGATTTCCGCTGCTACCAGTGTAGCGCCACAAAACTTCCCATAGGGTGAATACATGTATTCCGAAGAGGACAGAGCAGATGGGTCTGAGCATTACCCGAAGGCCAGTCCAAAAGAACAAGGACCGCCGAACCTCAGGTAGTCACATAAACAAAGCATTGCACCTACTACTGCCGAATGTGAGGTCCGGGGATGCTACGCAACATTAAAGGTGGTTGTGATCAAATATGAGTTTGCCAGTATCAAAGTTGTAATTACTAAATATACAGATGTAAAACCTTATGTATGCAACCTCCTGATGGCTGGCGGTTACCATGGTATTTTTGGCGTGGAGTTCCGAAGCTGCAATGTCTTATCTCTTCTCCTTCAGGAGTATGTGTTCTGCTCACCGTGATGTAATCTTTGGCCCAGTAGGAAGTTTTGAGTTGTTGCGATAGGCTTTGTAATAAGTGTGTATTTAAGGCGGGGAGCGGAACCCTAGCTAGAATAGCGATGTATTCTTCAGGCAGAAACAAGCCTTTTCCTCATTTTTTTTTCAACCCGCCCTTTTGCGCATCCTTATGGTTTCTACAACACTAACGTTAAGAAAGGCCTCTTGGAGGCCAGTGCGATGAATGTCGACGATAGTGCCGTTGGCGCTGATACCCACGCCGGATTGCAAATCAAAATGATGCACGATACTTTTCTGCAAGATTCTTCGAAATTTTCCGTTACTTTTGTGCCGGAAACTTTATTACCTATTTTTGCCTGATTTTACTCATAGTTTGGGTTTTTTAAGGTAGAGGAATATGAAACAAATATCAAGCTTTAAATAGCGAGATTTAACACATAGTAAAATTCTAAACAGTTATGCTTTACCTACTACGGTTGATGTCTAGAAGCTCACTCATCATTGGCTAGTAAAACTTGCAATTTCATAGGTAGATATTCGTACTTGTGTGTTTTGGGTACATTTCGAAGTAGTTTGTGACTAAGTTATGGTATATTGTTTCTTTACTTTATCGCACCTTTTAGGGCCAAAAGCAATCAAGTCATGAGGATGGTAAGAAAAGTGGGAAGGTAATGCGTCATTTCACTGACAACCTAAAACTTAGGCGAAAAAGAGGGAATTTGAGCCTCCTATCCCCACCAGAATGGGAAAGCACAAGAGGTCGAAAGGTCCCGACACAGCCAACAAGCTCCCACAGGTTACACCTCACACCAGATGCAAACTCCGTCTGCTAAAACTTGAACGCATTAAGGACTATTTATTGATGGAAGAAGAGTTTATTAAGAATCAAGAACGTCTCAAAACAGATGAGGAGAAGAATGAAGAAGAGAGGTCAAAGGTTGACGATCTTCGTGGAACTCCGATGTCTGTTGGCACTCTTGAAGAGATAATTGATGATAATCATGTAATAGTATCCACCTCAGTCGGAAGCGAGCATTATGTTAGCATCCTTTCTTTCGTTGACAAAGGGATGCTTGAACCTGGTTGCTCGGTTCTTTTAAACCACAAAGTAAGTAGGCCAACGTCTTTTTATTCCTCGCAAAATTTAGGTCCATGCTGTTGTTGGCGTTCTCACAGACGATACAGATCCAATGGTAACAGTGATGAAACTTGAGAAAGCTCCCCAGGAAACCTACGCTGACATTGGCGGTTTGGATGCTCAAATTCAAGAGATTAAAGAATCCGTTGAGCTTCCCTTAACCCACTCTGAGCTCTACGAAGAGATGGGTATAAAACCTCCTAAGGGTGTTATCCTCTATGGTCCTCCTGGAACAGGTACTTCTTTGCTTGTACATATTCCCTTGTTTTTGATGGTACTTAATGATTTTTTTTGTTTTTCTCTAAAGGCAAAACTCTATTGGCTAAAGCTGTTGCCAACCAAACTTCCGCTACCTTCCTTCGCGTCGTCGGTTCAGAATTGATCCAAAAATATCTCGGTGATGGTCCGAAACTTGTTCGGGAGCTCTTTCGTTTGGCAGAAGAAAATGCACCGAGTATCGTCTTTATAGATGAGATTGACGCGGTAGGCACAAAGCGGTATGACTCGAATTCGGGAGGCGAACGAGAAATCCAGCGTACTATGTTGGAACTGCTTAACCAATTGGACGGTTTCGATTCACGTGGGGATGTTAAGGTCATAATGGCGACAAATCGAATTGAAACCCTCGATCCTGCCCTCATTAGACCGGGTAGAATTGATCGCAAGATTGAGTTTCCCCTGCCGGACGAGAAGACGAAGAGACGTATCTTTACCATTCACACAAGCAGAATGACCCTTGCTGAGGATGTTAACCTGGAGAATTATGTCACCTCTAAAGATGAGCTTTCTGGCGCGGACATTAAGGCAAGTTTGGGGGTTGCAAAAACACTTTTTTGCTCGTTATTAATTGGTTCACTTTGTCTTCAAGGCTATGTGCACGGAAGCGGGATTGTTGGCTCTGCGTGAACGTCGAATGAAGGTAACAAATGAAGATTTCGAGAAGGCTAAGGAAAATGTACTTTATCGGAAGAGTGAGGGAACACCGGAAGGTCTTTATTTGTAATCCATCCTACTTTGTTTGTGAACAGCAGTCTAACTGTAATCGCGCTAAGTTTATCCTTTTTTTGAGTTTTGAACTGCTGATGAAGTCGATCTTACGCTTTAGTATTGGAAAGCCAGATAGTTTTATTACTAAATTTGATTAAGTATGGATCTTGAATTTAGCTGACGTGTGGGAATATGATATGGTAATAATTGGAGTAATTTGGTCACGAGGGCTTAGTACCGTTTTAGACATTGCATAGGTAAAGCGATCGTCTAGCTCACTCTGTTTATTGTCTCTGGATCATAGACGGGTGACGAGGTCAACTGCAGATGCAAATGATCTTAACAAACGTTCTTTAGAAGGGGGTGCGGAGACAGTAGTTTTTTTCGCGTCAGCGTGTGAGTGAGGCATAGGATGCATTTTGAAGGTGTGAGTCATAATCAGGCGCTCTACGTGTTGTGGGGAGAAGTAGTGCGTTGCGGAGCTTGGATCCCTTTACTAGTAATATGGGAACAGCTGCAATAATCGCGCGGATTTCATTGTCTTGGAAGTCTCATTGAAGGGTCTCACGGATTGGTGCTCTTGGAGGTCAGCTCTCACATTCTACTGCGAGTCCAGGTCCTTCTTTTAGGTGGCGGAAGTTAGCTAATCCGCCTTAACAATCCTGCCAGTATTCATAATTAGGAATGCCACTATTGGCGAGGGATCCGCACCACAATAAATTACTTTATTAAATTCATGCTGCACTAGAAAAGCCCACTTAAATAGCTTTTAAGCAGAACTGGTCTTCTAATGCTTCATAATTTATAAAAACCATCATGTAGCCGTAGCTTATGTTTTCGTAGTCTCATAATCAGTTCATTTTTTTGCCGTTTAAGTGCAGTGACTCTCAAGTGTGCTTGGCTTGTTTGTCAGTGTCCAAATAGGGGTGAGACACATGATTGATGAGACAAAACCCACTGGTTGAAATGGAGTTTGGATTTGCTTGTACAAGGTGTGCCATAGACCAATGTGAAAGCATGATTCAAGTCTGGTGCTGATGCACCTACAAGAGCCAATCACGGAGCCGTGTAATCGCATTGCGAGAGGTTATTGCATTCTCGTGTGTTGCTGTGTGGTGAAAATACCCATGAAATGCAGTGACATTGCATTGTAATAACCTTGGAATCAGTTGCCGCCTGATCTCACAAGGTAAGTCATCTCGCGTCTCCCCTACCCATCCCTTACTCATGCGAATATGAACAACTTTAAGCGCATTTTTGAGATGAAATAATTTTCCCACTCACACCTTTAAAACGATTTTTCTTCACAACTCTAGTTCGCAGCACACTATCGCAAAATTCTTGTGGCAGATGCGCTTATCTTACAAGCCAGTTAGAGAATTCCCGTAGTCATATTTCCAACAGTCTTTCGTCTGTAATCCCATTCCTGTGCATATATTCACGGCTATTGCTACTTTTTTCCAGACAGTGACTTAGTCTTGCATCGCCTTGAATGAAGAATAAGCACTGTTGAGTAGTGTCTGCCAACCGTCAGGTTAAAAAATCAGTCCAGTTAAATAATTCGTCCCTTTTAGCCGCACCTGATTGGCTGGACGGTCCCACCACTAACTTTGGTTTTAACCAATCATCTCAAAGCGGTAAATGTGTAATTATAATGCGCAAGCATCGTTCATTTTCACTGCCTTATAGCAAGACATTGCCATTCAACTTCCCTAATGCTTACCAATCGTACGACTCTACAGATGAAATTTATCCATTTGCATACCTTTTGACCCATTATACTCCCTGCTTTCGACTGGATCCTGGGTCTATCATATGCATTCGACTTCCCATGAGCTAGACCTTAATTTATTCAGTAGGTTTTTACTTATCAGCCGAAATCGATTAAATTTCGTGGGGTTAATCAAG